AAATTCTTAGTTCTTATCACTATATAGATTAGACCAAATCCGTAATAAACCCACACTACACATAATCTACTCTACTTAGAATTATATCACAAATAGGGATGACAAATGTTTTAAAATGGGATTTTTAAAAAAAAAAGTTTATTTGGTTTTGAAAATTTTTTAATACATCTCTGATCTTTATTTAAGTTCCTCAAATTTAATAGATCTGCTTTTTAAAAAATTGCTGAGCTTCGAGCTCAACAATTTTTTAAAAAGCAGATCTATTAAATTTGAGGAACTTAAATAAAGATCCAATTCCACAAATTAGCATAGATAATATCATTAAATGATGCAATTTAAATTTTATCATTAGCGTTAGACGGTTGTTTCGATCAAATAATTCAGGAGCTTTAAGTTAAATTTTATGATGTTTTAATACTTTTTTAAAACAATGAAAAACGTATAAAGAATGATTTAACCCGTTTTTTTTACCATTTCTAATCACAAATTTGAGTACATATAAGAAAAAAATTACTAAACCTTAACTTCTACGTACTCGAACACTTTGCTTATGTAAGCAGGCAATTCAAAACAGAATATTAATTAGGAAAACTTAGAGATAAAGTCAATGCTACTTAGTTTGGTAAAATATAATATAATAATATTTCCAATTAGTTATCTTTTAATTAATGCTACGTATACTTGGATATTATTGCACTGGATGACTGCATATAATAAAAAAATTATTAAGTGCAAGACATTACATTCCACCTTTTTCCAATTATAAATAATGATAATTTTATTATTATTCTTTTAAAAGTTTAAATAAAAATAATGATAAATAAGCTAATTTTAGCAGAATAAATGCAATATATATTGATTACAAAATAAATGAATAAATAAATAAAATTATTATTTACACAATGTCAAAATTAATCTTCAAGATCGTTAAACCTTTCATCAATAGAAAATTCAAAATTTACTGATCCCATAGATTGTTGTGAAAATCTGAGCGCAGAATTTTCTTTTGATTTAACATCTTCGATGACTGATGATTTAGGAATTATTTCTTCTTTTGCCTTAACATCTTCAAGATTTAAATTATTTGGTGTTGATGCTTCATCAGTTGGCGTTATAGGGATATCATCCAAATCTATATTATCTGAAATTTCAAAAGTAGTTGAATCCTCATCGTCTAAAGAATCTGGGATTTCAAAGGTTGAATATTCATGATTTAAAGAGTCAGAGATTTCAAAATTAGTTGAATTTTCATAGTCTATAGAATCAGGAATTTTAAAAGAATTTGAATCTCCAATTTCAAAATTCTGTGATTTAGTTGATAATGCTAAATTCAAAATTAAATAATTAGAATAACTATTTGTTAGTATAGCGAATAAATAGTTATTATTAACTTGCTAAATTTGACGAATTTCGTATAGAACTTTTAACATAATTAAAAATACCTTGAACATCATAATAAGTACTGTAAGAAGCATTATTTGGATGTAATTTTTGCGATTGTTGTACCTTTAAGCCGAGTTCATCACCCTTTTTAAATTCTTTAGCAATCTTAGAATTTGGAACAAATAAATATTGATTCAACCATGTCCCAATCGTTGTATATAACTCATGAGCACTTGGTCTCTTATCTTTATCGTTGCTCCAACATTTTTGCATCAAATCAGCATATAATTTTGGAGTATTCGGAACAATTTCAGGTCTCATTCCAGAAAAAATATCCGTTGCTAAAGAAAAATCAAATGGAATGTCACCAAAAGCTTTTAATCCAGTTAAAATCTCCCACATAAGAATTCCAAAGCTATATATATCAGCCGCTTGGGTATACGGCTTTTTACATAAAACCTCTGGTGCAATATAAGGTAATACACCGTATACTACATTATCATTATCATTCTTTGGCGGTGTCGCCTGGCCCAAATCACCAATCACAAATCGATACTCTTCGTCACGTCCTGGATCTCTATCCTTTAATCGTTGGCACATTACATTACCACTGTGTAAATCACGATGCATTAGTCCAGACTTATGAATCTGATAGATCCCAGTGGCCATGTCATAAAGAATTTCGAGCCTCTTTACAAAATTGAGTGTAGAGAAGTGTTTTTTTAAATATGCTGACAAGTCTCCGTCATCTGCTAATGTCATCACCATCATATAAGCCTTTGATTCAGGATCACGGGTCATACCGAAAGTACGCAATGTGGTAAAACGACCTGTTACCTGATCATTAGATATCAGATGAGATTTGAGCTATTAAATAAATTATAAAAAAATGTTTTATTAGTCAAGATAATAATGTATGAATTCACTTTAATAAACGTTAAAAATAAAAATATTCACCTCTTTAAAAAGCTCACTAGTAAAATCTTCCTCTTTTAAATCCAATAAACTTTTCAAAGCAACGTTAACATTAGAATATCTTTCCCAAACTTCCTTTTCCGCATTCCATTTAGTTCTTGGTCCGTCAATCCATTTTGCAGAGAATACTTCACCAAATCCACCTTTACCAATAGGTTTAATGTTAGTTAAACTAGAGAAATCAATCCATTCTAAGAAATTGAACTTGGTAGTAGCCAAAATCTGAGTCTCTCGTATGAAATTATCAATATTTTCATTTCCACTAGTCCAATTAGGAAAATTAATTTTGAAAATATCTCGGTCGCATGGTTCACACCATTCATCATGAATTTTTCGGCGACCGCATTTAGTACAATAATGAATATGAATATTACTGTTGCTTTTCGATGGATTAGAAGTTGAATTTGATGTTGTATTGTTAGAGGATTGAGTAGTATTATCATTTTGAGTTAGAGTATTTATTTTTATTTCAACTATGTTTTTATCTTCATTAGTATCATTCTTCATTTTATTATCACTTAAATCATTTTTCATGTAATTTTCTTCACCATCACTATTAATGATGGGATTATTAACTTTAGGTGATTGAACTAAAGCGCTTAACATTTTTTCCATTTTACTTAGTTGATTACCAAGAGCATCAACTTTTTGTTCTAACTGATAAATATCTTTTGGACGATTCTGTGGGGATGGTAATGAACTAATTTCAAATTGTTCATTATAAGAAATAGGAATTTCAATTGGAACATATTTTCCTTTATGATCAGATTTTATTTTCACTTTATGTGGAGCTCGTATTTTATCAATATTATTTTTATGATTTATAGTGGAATTTGTTGAATCTGAATTTATTAAGAAAGAATTGTTGGTTTCTTCTTGTAACCTGTCAGATTTTTGTGGTTTAAAAGTTAATTTACGAAATAAATTACTTATGAAATTATTTTTTAGTACTTTATATCCTGGGTTCATGCACCCATCACGGTAACGACTGTTATAATTCTTTGTTGTTGATGACATTGATAATGATAATATGTGACCTGTTCATTCATAATAATTTTTTTAAATTCATGCTAGAAAGAAATTAAGTATCGCAATTTAGAATGGTTATAGTAATATATAATTGAATTAAACATTTACTTACATGACTAAATAAGGATGTTTTAGTAAAGCAATATCTCACAAATATTTAGATACCGTTGTTTTATTATCAAATTCGAATTTGTTCACAAAATTTGTTGTACTATATTTCTTTCGTACTTTTGTTTTGATACGCCAAAACCACAAGAATTAAAAATTAATTAATTTTGAATTTAATTTTTGCAACTATAAATTACACAAAGTTAATATCCACTATGTCACATATCATTATATAGTGTCACTGGTAAAAACGGTTGTAAGTCTCTCAATCTATATAGATTTAGTACTACCCAAACATACAACCTATCGTTTAGACTTGTCGAATATAAAATATTATTACCCGAAATTGTGGTTTTTAAATCAGCTTAAACTCTAATAAACAACCTTATCGAAATGAAATGAATCGAAAAAGCATAGACACACTTAAAAAAATGTGCCAGGAGTAAATCGGCAATAATTTTATTATATAACTAAGACGACAATGTTATTCGGAAATTAACAACTATAATTTACACCAGGGCATCGCCGACCAAAAAGCAGTCCAGCCATCAAACGAATGACGGAATTCTTTTTTTGGGGAAGGAAGGTTTAGGGTCACAAAAAGTCATTGGGTGGTTTAATAACAGTTAAGTATTCTTATTCCATAGCTTACATGCTTCAAAGCTGTCAGTATTTCAATTTTGGGAGATTAATCTTTTATAATTATAATCATGAAATGCATCAGTTGAATACTTTATAAGGAACATCGCTTGATATATTAACATATTTTAAAATGTCTAAATAAATCTTTGATAATATATCATAAAGGCAATAAGAGTATATAGCATGTATCAATTCTGATCAATTTTATAAATAATAATAATTTGAGTAGTTGATCTTAATTCTCGAAGTTGAAAGAAGTTTATATTATTAGGTTCGTGAAATACAGAAAAAAATAAGATATAATATAATTAGCTTGTGAAATAAATATTTTTCTGACATCTATTTAATTATTTTCCTTCAAAATATTTATTTTTATTTTTATTTTTATTTAAAATTTTGACCTTAGGGTCAAGGTGAGGTCTTGTTTTTATCTTTATTAATAATTATATAGTTAAGAGTTAACAGCGAACTACTTGGTTATATATTACATACAAGAATTAAAACTCAGATGACTATAATATTAACTATGTTAAAGCTAGCTGCAACTACAGTAATCTGTAACCTAAACCTACTAGAGTGGTCAAGACTCATCTAAATTAGGTTGGATAGAATTGAATTAGTTGAGTAGCTATATTTTTCCTAGTAAGCTTTCTATTTAGCTATCTTCCTAATTGCCAAGTTCTGAGGAAGGCATTGGTTATTATGATGTAGTTGATCAGCAAGCCTTAGAGATGTACCTTATACATTATGCATCTTACATTATGCTATACATAATGTTGCATAATGCAATGCAGACTTTTAAAAATTTAAAAATGTACATAGAAATTATTATATAATTTTAATTCAACTAAAATTAATAAATTATTATATTATTTAATATTTTAATTTATTTTTATATTATTTTACAAGCAATAACAATAATGTAAGACTAAATATAAATATAGTACAGATAGTATAGTGATTAACTAATTTTTGTAATATCTTATAATATAGTAAATACTAGTTCAAAAACTCATGCTCTGCATAGAGTATAATTAGAGACTATAAAAATTTTAATATAATTTGACAAAACTTTCTATTTATAATATCAAAAACATTTATTATTTATTAAAGCTATTTTTAAATTTATGTATTCAGCTAATTTTATAATTAATAAATTATCTTTATACTCACACATTATTCGAAGAGTATTAAATAATTAAAAAGTATTTGAATTAAGTATTTATAAATAAGTATTTCATGATTTTAATTCTACTGATTAATGTTAACAAATTATCTTTATACTCACAAGCTAAATTAATGTAAACAAAAGAAATGATTTGAAGGGTATTAGAAAATAAGTATTTAGTGATAAATATTTATAAATAAGTATTTATGTTTATATCTTTAATTCTACTAATTAATATTAATAAATCATCGATATACTTACAGGCTAAATTAATGTGAATGAAAGAAATAATTTGAAAGATATTAAGTAATTAATTGTAAATAAATATTTAGTGATAAGTATTATAAATAAGTATTTATATTCATGATTTTAATAAAACTGATTTATGTTAATCATTTTTATAATTTGAAGGGTATTAGATAATTAATCGTAAAGAAGTATTAAGAGATAAGTATTTATAAATAAGTATTTATATTCATAATTTTAACAAAAATAATTAACATTAATAAACATCTTTATACTCACAGACTATTTGAAAGATATTAGATAATTAATCGTAAAGAAGTATTTAGAGATAAGTATTTATGAATAAGTATTTATATTCATAATTTTAATGAAACTGATTAAATCATCTTTATACTCACCTACTATTTGAAAGGTATTAGGTAACTAATTGTAAATAAGTATTTAGTAATAAGTAATTATAAATAAGTGTCTACATTCATGATTTTAATTATACTAATTAACCATCTTAATATTTGTATACTATTTGAAGAGTATTAGATGATTAATTGTAAATAAATATTTAGAGATAAGTAGATATGAATAAGTATTTATATTCATAATTTTAATGAAAATGATTAATGTTAATAAGTTATCTTTATACTCACTAACTGAAATGATTTGAAGAGCATTAGGTAATTAATAAATTATAAATAAGTATTTAGTAATAAATATATAAGTTATGTTCATAATTTTAATGAAACTGATTAACGTTAATAAATCATCTTTATACTCACGGACTAAATTAATTTGAATGAAATGATTTGAAGAGTATTAGATAATTAATTAATTGTAAATAAGTATTTATAGTTAAGTATTTATGAATAAGTATTTATGATCATAATTTTAATTTTACTGATTAACATTAATAAATTATCTTTATATTCACTCACTATTTGAAGGTATTAAGTAATTAATTATAAATAAATATTTATTTATGAATAAGTATTTATATTCATAATTTTAATTCTATTGATTAACATTAATAAATTATCTTTATACTTACTAACTAAATTAATACGAATGAATAATTTGAAGATATATTAGGTAATTAATTAATTGTAAATAAGTATTTAAGTTAAGTATTTATGAATAAGTATTTATGTTCATGATTTTAATTCTACTGATTAATATTAATAAATCATTTTTATACTTATGGACTAAATTAATGTGAATGAAATGATTTGAAGAGTATTAGGTAATTAATTAATGTAAATAAGTATTTAGAAATAAGTATTTATGAACAAGTATTTATGATCATAACTTTAATTTCACATTTAATGTTAATAAATTATTTTTATATTCACTCACTATGATTTTAATTTCACTAATTAAAGTTAATAAATCATCTTTATACTCATCTACTATTTTAAGATATTAGGTAATTAATTGTAAATAAGTATTTATAAATAAGTATTAATAAATAAATATTTATATTTATAATTTTAATTCTGCTAGTTAATATTAATAAATCATCTTTATAATCTCTAACTAAATTAAAGTGAAGGAAATAATTTGAAGGGTATTAGATAATTAATTAATTGTAAATAAGTATTTAGAGTTAAGTATTTATAAATAAGTAATTATGTTTATGATTTTAATAAAACTAATTAACATTAATTAATAAATCATCTTTATACTCCCTTTTTAAATGAAATAATTTGAAGAGTATTAAGTAATTAATTAATTATAAATAAGTATTTAGCAGTTAGTGATAAGTATTTATATTTATGATTTTAATTTTTCTACTTAATGATAATAAATTATCTTTATATCATTTTCTGAATAAAATAATTTGAAGAGTATTAAGTAATTAATCATAAATAAGTATTTAATAATAAGTATTTATGAATAAGTATTTATGTTCATAATTTGAATAAAACTGATTAAATATAAAATCACAAGGTGAGATTCAAGTATTAATGATTGTTAGGATTTAAATTATATATATTTTTTACTATTTACATAATTGCTAATTAATAAAAAATTAATACTTATCTGCATAGTATGTATAGTGAAAATTTTTAATAGAAATGCATTATTAAAATTAAGTGATATGATAGAATAGATAATATTTGATATTATGATAAATAAATCAATATACAAAATATTAAAATCATTAAAAAAATATGTAATGATTTATTAATGATTTATAAGCATAATAGATTTTGTCAACAATTTCATAAGCAATTTTGAGTTAAGAAAGCAATTGACTAATTAAATATATGTAATTATTATACATATTTGTTATATAGTTTTATAAATAGTTTCATAAGTAATTCATACATAAGCAATTCATAAGAAATTTGTAGATAAGGGAAGTAATTGACTAATTAAATACAATTGTATATTCAATTTTATACATTATCACATAAATAATTAGATCAAATTTTATGAATTATTATTATATATTTTTAATAATCACTGAAATCAAAAAAATCTGCCTATATAATTTTATATATAACAATTCAATAATAGGTGAGTAGAAATAATATTTATAAGGTCATGCCTTAAATCACATCAGAAATTTTATTAAGTCAAAAGTTTCTATTAGCTACTAATATTTATAGTTTTAGAGTATCATGCAGAGATATCAACTAAACAAAGACCTTTTAGTGATATGAATTTGATTGAATTGTAACTGAAATTTGTTTTTGGAGCTTTAAATTGCTATATTGAATTAGCTAAGCAATGTATAGATTCAATTCTACAAAAATAATTAATATTAATAAAATATATGAGCTAATTTTTTATTAAGTACTTTAAAATATATAAATATTATAAGTGA